TTGCCTCATCGTATTTATTTAAGTCATATGGTAAATCAATCTAAGTGGAAGTGAACCAGGCACTTACTAAAGGAGGGCCTGAACCACGAGGCATGCCTCAAGGAATACAACGAAAAGAGCGCTAGAAGTCTGCAACTCAAATGACATAACTTGGCTTTATTTAGAGTAATAATAAGCTTTAGTAATGATTTTAAAAAATAAAAATTGTTGGTATACTACTTTAAATAGTTTTTGGGGCCGATGTTTTGAAAGCGGCCATCTGGGGGCTCAGATTTATCTCCTTGCCTCTCTTCGCCTCCTAGTCATGATTTCCTCTCGCATGCCTTACGCATTGCCTAGAGTAATATGATATTTATTGTAGCTATTCTATTTAACTAGATCCTCAGGTTGTTTTCTTTCAAGCAGACTCGATGCTTTTCTGCGTCATCATCAGTTATGTCATCAAAACTGACCGTCCGAGAGGCCCTTAACGAAGCGATCAGGGAGGAAATGGAGCTTGATAAAAACATAATATTGCTAGGTGAAGAAGTAGCCCAATATGACGGTGCTTATAAGGTAGCTGAAATAGAAACATCTAACAACCTAGGTATCTAAAGGCATTTGGAAACTCTTCGGGGAAGAACGTGTTATCGACACTCCAATTTCAGAGGTAACTGAGTGTAATGTCTTATTTAAAAGATGGGGTTTACTGGTATGGCCGTTGGAGCTGCTTTTGCTGGCCTCAGACCGATATGCGAGTTTATGACCTTCAATTTTGCCATGCAATCAATTGACCAAATTATTAATTCTGCCGCTAAAACATTCTACATGTCCGCTGGACGAGTAAGCTTGTTTCAAAAAAAAATTATATCATTTGATGTCGTCTAATGTAATATGATGCCTAGGTCAATGCACCGGTGGTCTTTCGAGGTCCAAATGGTATATCAGCTGGAGTTGGTGCTCAACACAGTCAGGATTTTTCTGCTTGGTATGCGTCATGTCCGGGCATCAAAGTTATATCCCCATATAGCTCTACAGATGCCAAAGGACTTCTTAAATCTGCTATTCGTGATTCGGATCCAGGTAGATTTTTTGAAGTTGCTTGCAATCTTTACTTTATCAACCCCTATTCTTATTTAATATCATGCTCTAAGATTACATTAGGTTGTTTCTTAATAATCTATGGTTTGAAACTCACTTCAATTTGCAATGTGTAGATCTAATAAGTAGCCTTGTGTTCTCAGTCTATTATCCCTTGGAGGAAATCTGGACTTCTTTAACCGTACTTCTAAGCTTTACTATGTTTGCAGAGTCAAAAACTTATTGCTTGATGAGCTTTGATGTTTATGTATTGCTCTTTGATATAAAAAAATAGTTTGTCCCTATTTTTTGCATAGTTCTATTATTGGACTAAGGTCGGGTCTAATCTCTCGGCTTTCGAATGCATTTGTTCAATCCTATCAAGTAGTTTGGTTTTCATATAGTCTTTCTAATTTATTTTATTTGCGTTGTTGTATTTCAAGTTCTGGTCTTTAT